CTTATATGAAGCCGGGTGCGGTTGCAGTTGCATAAGAAATAAATTACTGTTATTCAATCACATTAACTATTACGATGATACAGGGATAGGACCAAAATGAAAATTAGTCTCCAAATCTGCTGCCAGCTTGGAGATATCTCGCCAAATTAGCGAGATAACCATTTATTAAGTGTTACATAGATTTGCCCTTGCATTTTTACTTTTGCGGAAGAGCATCAATTCTCTCAGCTTTTCATATTATATTATACAGAAAAATATAGCAATTTCACGCTTAATTCGCAAAAATTATCTGTATATATGTGCAAAATTTTAATAATATTTTATTCTTTTCCTTTAAAACTAACATTTACTAACCTTTAAAACTAACATTACATTGAATGTATTGGTGTTGGTATTGTAATAGAGAACTTTATTTTTAAGATGCATTCACATTTTGTATAGTATTCACATCATAAGCGGTAAGAATTACCAATCATGGAAAAAGCCTAAAGCACAAATTAAAACATGCACAGCACTCCTGTCATATCGTTGACACTCATCCTTCACTGTCTGCCCTCTGCAACATCTTTTAAAGCGTTGTTTATACTTGTATATTTTGTCAGTTACTGTTTTTCAAAAAATTATTAGTCCAAAGGGATTTGAATCCCGAAGGATTATTAGTTTCGTTTTGGCATTTTGCGTCGGACGGATAAATGTCGGTTCACTTTTCAAACTGTTGCCATAAAATGTTAGATTCCTGCATTATATTTGAAGAAAATAAATAATGAAAATCTGCGTAAATGTATGTATATTTCTCCCATTGTCATAAAATAACGGTACATAGAGTCATCGAATTTTGAATAACGTAATCCTCCAACGAATATGAGCATGTGGAAGACCAAATTTGAAATTTGAAATTTGTTTTATGATCGATTTCCTATTTTTAAAACTTTGACGAATTTTTGATTAACAAACTCAAGGATTTCAAAGCGAGCAATGGCAACGTTGTGCAGAAAAAGCATTTTTATCTCCAGCGCGTGTCTCTGTATCGGAAATTCTAGATATGCTCGTTTTAAAACTATTTTGCGATATTGCTGTTGCACTGGATCTTATGGTTTAAGTGCGAGGAACATGATATTTAATAAAGAAAGGTAACACACAAAATGTTAAAAAACGCCCCTTTGGACGTAATTTAAAATCTGAAACATTTCAGATTTTTTTTTTTCTTTTTTTACACTCTTTGTTACTGTCGCCATTTCCCATTTTTTGAATTCCGTCATGCTGTGCCCACGCGTTTGAAAGCCGTTGGATTTTACCACTAACTAACTCACGGAAACTGAAACGAATTTGGCGAACATTTTTGAAACTTTGGAAGTGGGACACAACACGAGAATAAAAATTGACAACACTCTTTCTTTTATTTATTAAATTTGTCTTGAACACATGCGTGTATATGTTCGTAACCTTGGAGAAAAATTACTAGAAACTATCTTCATTACGGTTTGTATGTGCTCATCGGTCAATCGGGTTCTTTTGTCAGGCTTATTAATTTTCAACTGTAGGGTTTATATTTATTTTAACTAACATTTATTTTAAGTTTTAAACTATCTTTCCTGTCAATCCTTACTTTTCCCTGGAACTGCCAATGCCAGAATAGTAAATTTGAGTAGAACGCGCAAGCATTCAAATTATCAGCGGAAGTAGTAGAAGTAGTATGATTTAAATAGAAGGAAACGAGTTCGGTGAGAGAGTTATTCTTACTTAGCGAGCGCGGAGGTAGTATCGTAGTTATCGAGAATTGAAGAACCCCGCGTTGCGGCCTATGTGCTTGACGGGAAGTAGTTGCAATTGTTCCAGTGAGCTTCAAGTCTGCTGAATTAGCTGCGGGTATTGTAAAACGCGTGGTTGGGAGTAGTTATTTTAGAGAGCCTCGTAGTTAGAATCTTGTCTTTACTTTCTTTTTCAGGTTATTATTTTTATTTGACTGCCTAGTTGGCACAGTCTGTAAGCGTCAAGAGGACGCCATTGTAATTTATTACGTTGAATAAAAAGGGACTTAAACCCTTTATAAGACTCTGTGGTTTATAGAAGCTTTCACAGTCACCTCTTGGTTGCGTGCAAGTTAGAGGCGCGCAACGTTATACAACTGCGAAAAGCAACATATTCCAAAAAAAGCAATTAATTTCATCGCAAAAATTCGCAACTGAGGGTTATTTATCTTTGGATAAGTAAGAATAAATATTAATCAAATATGTGTCTTCAAATCTTTGAATAAGATTTCTATCACACTGGTAAATTAATTAGCTTATAAGGTATTTCTCCTGCCTTCTTAGCATGCCTTCGTAGTATGGTGGTCTGCACGCTAAGCGCGTATTCTAGAGGTCTGTGGTTTGATTTCCGGCGAAGGCGTTGCTCATTTTCATCTCACCCGCTTTAAAAAAAAAAAAAAAAAAAAAAAAAAAAAAAAAAAAAAACATTATGTCTCTAAAGTGGCGCCCGAACTAAAAGGGTAGTGGATGATGATTTTCCACACCCACGATTTGGCGATTGGGTCTCCTTAAAACCCCAATTGCTCTTTAAAAGGGAGGAGTATATAAGGTATTTCTCCCGCCTACTTAATATGCCTTCGTGGTGTGATGGTCTGCACCCTGGACGCGTATTTCAGAGGTCCGTGGCTCGATTCCCGGCGAGGGCGTTGCTCATTTTTCATGACTCCTGGCTTCCAAAAAAATACCAAATGTCTCTAGAAGCTCAATTTGTAAAGTTTCTGTTGTGGTATTCACGTTCGTTTTAATAGTAATAAATATAGCTATAAAAGTAAGACTACATGCAAGCTATAAAATTCAATGCATCTTTCTTCAAATTCTAGTTGTAATAATGTTATTTTTCTTGCATATTTTTGAGATTTTTCATTTGAAATAGTAGAATAGGATTAAAGATGTATGAAAGATGTAAGAAGTACGAAGTTAAGCTGTAAGAAATGTAACAAATATTATGATTCAAGTTGCCTTACCGGTAACTTCAGTTTAACTTTAAAAGGTTTAATACAGGCATACATGCCAATAATCAATTTATTATTTCCTTACAGCTCTTCATTGAAAATATATAAATGTCAACAAGAAATGCTAAAACCGATTATGTCAACAAGAAATGTTAAATTTGTTATCGATATATCATTATATAGCTTGTAGATGTTTTATTAATTTTTTATTTTTGTCTCAGTTGTGATTTCGTTTAAGCCAAAAAACTGTTTTTATATAACTCCTCGACGTAACTATATACAAGTAACTTTTTTTTACTTACTTTCAGTGTCTTCAAGTAATGCGACAAAATGATTCAGAGTTCGTCCACGTCCATAACTTACTGTTTAGTTATTGTTTCAATAAATTTATCCATCTCCAAACTTTTCGCAACATATTTACAAAAAATACATAACGAAAATGTAATCGCAGGCCTTGAAAATTGCTTTGAAGGATGGTACTTGTAGACCACTGATTTAAATAAAATATTGTATTAAATATTCATTTAAGGAATTATTATTTTTATATATTAATAATGCATTAAATTCTCTGCATCCTTATTTTACTTATAGAAAAGAAATAGATGAGAGTATACTGAAGCAATGCTTAAAAGTTATCCAATTGGGAAATCGGAACAATTGCGAGCGAGCTATGTAATCGCTTGCAATGAGAATAATAACACAGCTGCAGTTAGAGTAGGAAAATACTTTATTGAAGTAAAACCTTACAATTTCTCAGATTACTTTCATTTTTGAAGAAAACCCATTGCGATTACTTTTAGGCAGGTGAAACGTTTTTAACTGCGTGAGACATTATTTTTGTGGAACTAAGTTGTCATGAAATTTCCTGAATTACTGGAGTATCTTGAACTTAATTGCAAAGAATAGCCTTTTTACTGCAGAAAAGAAATGAATAAAGATTTTGTTTTTGAAAATTTGTTCTTGATAACTACGCGAAGAAGATTACATAACCGCAACACAATAAAATTCTTAAAATTCTGAGTGTTGAATATGGGATAAATTTTTAAAATTTCACGCCTTTAGCCATTTGAATACGATGGACCTGGATCTTGTTGATTGGGTTTGCTTTTAATTCATTACTGTTACCCGAATATGAAACTTTTTTATAGTTACTCCTCCAGCATTCCTGACACTAGGGAGACTTCAGTTAGTAAAGTGTGCAGGTGGGCTAATAGTTATCTTTTTTTTATTTCTTTCAAAAAGTACTAATTATGTAATTATCTTTATGTATTAATTATGTAAGTATCTAAGTGCTTTAAGAAAATATTACAAAAATTTACTAATTAATTGTATTCAAAATTAGCGAACATTGTTTTTCACATGGAAGATGAGCAAGTTTATATTACATGAAGAAATCAAAGATTTACTAATTGACTGTTTTCAAAATTAGCGAACATGGTTTTCACATGGAAGATCCATGCCCATCTTCCATGTGAAAAACATGTTCGCTAATTTTGAAAACAGTCAATTAGTAAATTTTTGATTTCTTCATGTAATATAAACTTGCTCATCTTCCATGTGAATTTTCACATGGAAGTTCATTTTCACATGTAGAACATTTTTCACATGGAAGATGAGCAGGTTTATATTACATGAAGAAATTTGTTGTGATATTCGTTATCTGAGTTACAATAATCGGCTCCCAAAAGTTTAATAATGTGCTTAAATGTATATCAGTTTTTATTGTAAGGATCATGGTACAATTCTAGGAAATAAATATAGTTCAGTATGCTAGATATAAAATGATTTATTTGTCACAACATAACCATGATTCATGGCAACAATTAAATAAATTACATTCGACATTACAGAATCTGTCATTTTTATTGTGTAATTAATGGATTAGAGCCTTGCCAATGCCAGCTCCATATCCATATCCCAGTCCGTAACCATAGTCTAAAGCAGCTCCGTGTCCGATGACACCTCCATATGCTACAGGAGCAGCAGCAGCTACAACTGGAGCGGCAACAGCATGTCCATAGACTGCAGTGGCAACTGGGGCAATGTGATCGACAGATGGTCCAGCGTAAGGGCTAGCGATGAGGGCTGCAGCAGGGGTGCTGGCAGCTGTTCCTGGCTCGTGGTCTTCACAGCGGCACGGAATCCGAGTTTATCAGCTACATAGTCTACTCGTCTGGCTCTGCCATCGATATCATGGATGGTGTAGGTTCCCTTCTTGTTGCCATAACCATCACCTACTTCAGATCGGGAGTTGGAAGCTCCAAGTTTGTCAACGATATCGTAACCAAAAGCATAGTTTCCATAAGCCTAGAAAAAAAAAATTACTAAAAAATTGAAAATGTATTAGAAATAATGCTATGAAACCTATTTAAAAATATAGTTGCTGAAAAATGCGTAGTATTAAATACGATAGATGCTATTCTTTTCATAACAGAAATGCCTTTATGCTCTTAAATGATATTTAGTCAAACTTAAATTAAGCGTTTATGTGGATATTGCCAGTTTCACACAGGGAGAAACCAAAGCAAATTACTGGAAAATAAATTAAACCCGATTTACATTTTCATAAGAAAATTTCCTATTGGATTTGAAAAACTAACGCAGATTTAATTATAAATTTATTAAGTAGATTGCCATTACCATCGCCCTAATCAGAAAGCTTTAGGATTAGGAAATATTTAAACACAAATTTATCTAGACTTAAATTTTCTCTCTGAGAATAAATAATGAAGGAACTAGCTAGAAATTTATATTATGCTAAATGTTCTTCTATGACTAAAACTTTCATCGCTAACAGAAGTACAATATTTCGCATTTAAATGATAGTCGTTGAAGCAAAACTAATTCCACAGTGTGTTTATGCTAAAATAGTAATTATTATTAAGAAAAGTCGAAATTTTGAAGAATAGCTATTACAGAACAGGCATTTAGATTTAAACAGAAAACATTTTGCAGTCTGCAGATCTCGGAATTGCGATATGCAAGTTAAACATCTTTATTTAAATAATTATAATACTGGAAGGGGGGAAGACAAGATCTTTAGAATTTGCTTAAACTTACTAGTTACTGACTTCTGTGGCACTCATAAGATAGGCATTTCTCATGGCAAGTTTAATAGAAAGTTCCACACAATGCTTTTGCGATTATTTCTTTCTTCGATGAATGTAAAAATTTATATATAAATGATTACAAGAATTTTAATTATTTATTGCAAAACTTCTGGCGTGATAAGCAAAAACAAAAAATGAAATATTATAACTCAGTCTATCAGTGAAAATCGATTAAAATTACAGATACTGATGAACAGTGAAGCTGATACATCAAGATTTTACTTCACTTTTTCTTTTCAGAATCTTTAAAATTAAATTTTGCATTATTTTAAAAATTTAGACCTTATGTTCTTCACAATAATCTGAACTAAATGGACTTACATCTTGTGTCCTAGAACTGGAACTGACACCAGTGCTGACAAGAGGTGCCTTTAGCAGAACACTGGCACTGGAAACTGCAAGAGCAGCGCATAAGAAAGCAACCTGCAAAAAATGAAATTTGTCAAAGTTTCTGAAGGTAAATAAGATTTAAATATAAGTTCTAAAGAAATTTAAACTTCTATTCAAAGGATTTTTTTAGCACGCGAAAATATTTTCAAAGTAATCAGCATCGATTCAGATTTTTCAATATAATCGAATCGACTGTAGTTTTGACTTCAGGGCGGTAGAGTTACCATTATAAACTAAAATCTTTGATTAATCATATGCAGTTAAATTTACCGTTACGTCTAATAAAGGGCTTGTTATATTAAATCTGTATAGAAAAATTTTGAATTCTGAATAAATTAAATAGTATATTAATTGCTTATAAGAATGAAGTTGTAATATGAAAGGATACTTACGCAAACTCTTAAATGTAAAATATTCCCCCCAAAAAAAACAAAGAAGAAATGAAAATGAGAAAAATCATAAGTAATTTCAAGTAAAAATTATACTTTTTTTCTGCATATTTATAAAACGACTGGTTAATTTGGCGAATTATGATGCGTTGTGAAATTAAGCTTATCATTAACAATTTCTTGATGATTTCATGACAGACAGAATATTCGTAATAACGTTTAGAAGAAAATTAATTTAAAAAATGAAGTGTTTAATTGAGCTTAAAAGTGAAGTTACCAAGATTACGTTCAATAATTGATTTCTTTGAAACTACCGAAGAACACATGTAAGAAACGGAAATGAACTCATATATCAAAATATAAATGGATTGCATTTCATTACTGAATTTTATTTTGAACTGAATGAAGGAATTTTTTGCCACTTTAATTGCTATTAATACTAATTACCAATGTACAGCTAAAGAAACTGTAGTTTAGATTACGATTGTAAAGTAACTCATTATTGCAGACATCGAACCCGCAATACAATTATTTTCCTTCAGGGACTAAATTAAAAAAATGGCGTCTAATTTTTTGGTACTTGAAAAGGAGGTAATAACAGCATAGAGACACGACAACAGTAGCATAGAGAAAAAATGTTTTAGTGTCTGTCTCTCTGGATGATTGCTGAACTCCTGAGTTAACAGTATATTTTGTCTTAACTCAGATTTTTCAGTTACCGTAAAAGTGTTTTCCAGTTGCATTTACCGTTAATGTCAATCAGACTGATGCGTTAGAAAATGTTTACATTATTTATCTTGTTCGAAATATGTAAGCTGTTTAAAAAGCAGAGAAAAGTAGATAAAATGTTTTCCACTGTTATTTTATGCATAATTTTCCACAACAATGCACTCTACAACTTCCTTTGCTTTCGAGAAATAAATATAGCTCCCAGACGTCAACTGGTCGGCCTGAATTTTAAAAATTTGCGACAATTTCATCCTATTGATTTATTAGCGCTATGTGTAAAGCGTGTTCTCACAGCTTAACCATATATCCGCTTTTACATCTTAACAGTGCTAATTTGCAGAATTAAACTTTAGAACTTCTTAATGATTAAAAGTAAAATTTATTATATTAAAACTTATTGCTTTCAATTTTCTGAAAATATTTTCCGAATATTACATATAGTTAAACTTGAGTAACATAGAAAACTTAAGTAAATGTGATACACATACATAGCTTTAATAAATTATTTCGTTAGGGAAACTTATATGCGAATCGATCTGCAAAAATTATAATGCAAAACTAGGATATAAAGTTACTTGTAACTAAAAGATTGGCTATTTTTCTTAAAAAACAGGTTTTAAGCTCACTGTTTTATAATTCTAAGACTACGTTTTCAAAACTTAATTTTTTAAAAAGCTGTTTTGTTATAATGATTATGTAAATGAACTCTTTTTGCATCTCACTTCAAGTTCAAAATTTAAATTTCATGAATTTTTTACTTTTCCAATAAAACTCCTTTTTATAAATTTAAAGATTGTTATCTTTGTGTAGTGTTTACAAATCATCAAATATTTAGGCTGTAAATGATTTTATTTCTCGTTTTATTCGTGAAATTCATTTTAATGTAAAATTGCGTTTCGTAAGAGTAATGAATACGGCAGTAACAAATGGCTCGTTTATTATCAGTAGAATAAAAGTATCTCTTCTTTCATGGACGAGTATGGTTTTAGTGATTTCATTATTCATGTTAGAAACCTTTAGAAAGAAAGACTTTTAGAACCTTTAGAAAAGAAATTCAAAATGTTCATGCATTTTGATAAAAATCCTATTAAAACTTTTAATATAATAAAATAAATTAATCACAAATGTTGTAGATACAAAGCAAAATGGTATCATATTAGAAAACAGTTTTGCTTCTATTAAATCCTCCAAGTTGTGGATAATTTGCATGCTAATATTATGGAAGCAAATAAAGATTACGTTTTCCGTCAGTAAAGTTCTCTAGTAAATGTTTTCTTCTCACATGGGTACTGTTAATGCTTTCAAAATTCCTCTTAAGAGAAAACTGCATAAAATGAGAATATTGGAATGATGAAAATGTATTGTTAGTATTTTTCTTTTTATTATGAAAAGAAAAAATTAATTTTATTATGAAAATAAAAACTTCTTTTCTCAAATAACATAGGAAAATCTTTAAATTATAATATAAGGTAAAATAAATTCAAAAATCCTTGCATAAATTTCAAGAAATTCTAAAATCGTCAGAAACTAAGAAAAATCGCATGACAAACAGTGGGACCAAAATGCAAACTAGTCTAGAGAAGAGGACGCTCGTTGTGTCATTATTTGCCTACTTTGCGTAGCTTTTAATAACTATTTTTGTTGTAGTTTATCGAAAGTAATCATTTGCTAGATCCAATAAACCAGAAATCTATAAGCTTGTAAGTGTAATTCTAACTTTTATTTAATGCATAAAAAGATCCACCTACGATTTTGGTACAAGCTATAATTCATTTGAAACAATATTTTAAAGTGAAAATAGAAATCAGAATATATTTTAACGCAAAAATTGCGAATAAAATATCATGTCAATAACAGTTGGTTATATGAGGAAGAAAGAATGAACCTAGAAGTTTTCTTACCTTTGCGATCATTGTGTGTGTGTGGGATTTCGATCTTCGGAATGAGAAGTCCACACTTTGTTTAAGCTTTTATACTCTATGCAAGCAGGTTTTTATTTTTAGACGTACAAAGAAAGGTCGTATTTTTTCCATGAAAAGTTTCTTATTAATTTAAAACTGACAGAACCGGAAAGAAAAAACAGTTTCGGACATTTACGTGGAGTATGGCATTGAGATTGCTATACCCTTGCGGTTACAATATGTTTGTCCGTGATTAATATTGATAATATCAGCTATTCTTTTCTTTATCGAATTATACTGAGCCTCAGGCCAGTGTTCCAATTTTAAAGCTTTTTTTTTCTATGTTATTAATTCCCTTTGTACATTCATTAAATTTCTCACTCAGCATTTCGTAAGCATATTTGACAAGAAAAGTATCTTTTATTCTGAAGTATGACGAAAAGCGTAATCTTTTGTTCCAGGCAAAATGCATTAATAAAATCAATATAGAAGGAAACGAAACCTGTGTTGTTAACACTTTGCTAAGTTTTAAATACCCCCACACTCCAAATAGCGGCGAAATGCATATCTATAAAATTGTAAATCTCTCTCTTTTTTTTAAATGCTCAAAACTGAAAACAGTTTCCTTCGATTATAGTAAAAACACATGTAAGTTCATTTTATTATATTGTGCTAAAGATAATACATTCTGGCAGAGCATATGCAATGATATTTGAGAGTTTCATTTTCAGAAAGGGGAAACAAAAAAGATATGTACTGCCAGTTTTTTAAATGATGATTGATGTTCCGTCATGTTGTAAAAAGTTAAATAACTTAAATACGTATTTTAACTTTTACGTTAAATATATATCAAATATGTTTAATAAAAGTCAAAATTTTGTTTACATCAAAACTTTATTATTTAGATTTAAACTGAATTAAGAGACTACCATATATATGGAATACAAAGAGAAGCGAAAGAATTAAAATTTCTCCTCCTGTATGGGCGAAACAAAATTTTTCGCTATCATGACAATGAAACTGAGTAAGTTTACATCATTGTATATTTATCACTGCAAATTCTGATGTTAAAGCGATTCATTTAGGCTGAGTAATTCTCATGCTTCTGATCTGGGTTTTGAATTCCGGATAAGACATGGATGTTTGTAATGGTTTGGTTTATTTGATTACGACAAAGGGCGCAAGCGCTATTTGCCTAGGGAATGCCTTCGTGAAAGAGTTTTATGGGAAACTGTTTCATATCTATTTTATATATGGGAAACACAGCGAAAACGCCCATGCGTCCGACACTTGAAATTGAACTTACGTTGAACTACCAGTGTTTAGCGACTTTACCGCTCAGCCGCTGGTGCGCCAGTGTATCTTTATGAAAGTAGTAAACTTAACAAGCAGTTGATACGAAAATCTTTTCAAGAAGTGAGTGTCATATTAGATAGTCTACAAGATCGTGATATTCTGACTCACTAGACGCTGTGTCAAACTGCTCTGAGGGTTTTAGATCTGCACGCTGGAATTTCGCATTTTGTTATAGTTCATTTTCCTCTATATATGATGAAAAAATTTTAGGTAGTTTGTAGAGTCATTAGGTTATTTTGATGCTGGAGACGTGAAAAGCGAGCAATGCCCTCGCCGGGACTCGAACCTGGACCTCTCGAATACGCGCCGAGTGTGCTAACAGTTACACCACGAAGGCATGCAAAAAGGAAGGGGATTGGGGATTAGGGGACCCAATCGCCAAATCATGGGACTCTCGAATTATGGGCCTCTCGAATACGCGCCGAATCTTCTACCGTACACCACGAAGGCATGCAGAAAGAAGGGAGAAAATACCTTATAAGGTCATTAACAATTCTAATATTTGTTTAGCAAATCAAGAAAATTTCAATAGCATTTAATTTTTGTAGCCGCTTTAGGTATGATATTTTGTGGTTTTCCACGTCAAGAATACATTGACGGCCACATATATATGCATGGAAATTTGTAAAAAGCATTATATTAAAATTGAAGATGACCCAGATCTCTTATTTTTCTTAGATAAATGAATTTTGAAAAGGCTTCTGGGGAGGGTCAAATTTTTCAGTTCTCCGTTAAATATGTAGTTACAAACTTATTTGATGTAAAGGTATTTATTATAATATTGAGATTAACGTGAGTAAAGAAAATGCTATTTCTTTAACATTCGATTATTATTTCATAGAAATTTAGAGTTTATTTTAGCAATTTCACTCTCATCTTTTTTTGTATGAAGGCTGATTGTTTCTAATATGTGATCGTACTTTTCGGTAAATATTCATGAGAAATTTTTGTTGTGCAATAAACTGCTTTTTACTATAGTTATTAAAATAATAGTAAAAATTAAGTATTCTTGTAAATATTTAGAAGCATCACAATTCCAAATCTGTATGGAAATGCAGCTAGAGTTAAATATTTGTATTATTAATTATCGAATTTTTAATTTTATTATTTATCTTTAACTTTTGTGTATTCCTCAGATGGCTGGCTGTATTTACAACTTTATTGGTAACTGAATGAGAGGGAGTAAATTATCATTGATAGTTCTATTTAGTTGAGCTTCAATGTTAAGTTTGTACGACTTGAAATTTAAACCTGATCTCTTCAGGTTACAAATAAGAATTCTATAGAATTTCGGAGAAAAATGTATGCTGATAAATTATCTTTGTTGAAATAATTTATTGAATTATTTTTCTTTGGAAAAAAATGTCCATTCGTAAATCATAGATGCTTACGTACAAAATCTTTTTAAAAAACATTCTGCTGCTTTACAAAATTACCAGATGAGTATATCTAGTAAATCTGTAGTCTTAAAATTAACTGACAAAAAGGTATTGAAAGAGGAAGCTCATATTTTAAAATTCTAACAATTTAAAATCATTTACAAAATAATAAAGCCACCTCAATGTTAATGTGCGTGATATATAAGTTATACTGATTTACCATTAGATTAGAAATGGCATAATATGATACGAATTGGAAGAAATATATGAAATCTTTGCAAAAGACCTTTCTATCGAGTAGTTTCTTTTCTCCAAAATTTTAATGAATCTTATATTTCGTGGGAAGACGCTAAACTGACTTTCGTGGGAAGACGCTAAACTCAATCATAGACATCAACTTATAATTTTATGATATTTGCTGAGTAATATCACTCTTTTGAAATTAAGTTTGCAGTCATGGAATAATATTGGTAGCGTTTTAATGACTTCAACAGAAAAAGGCAAAACGTTAAAATTAAATAAATAAATAAAAGTAATCTGAATCGAACTCAACAGTATGGTCTAATTTCCCTTACAAAATAAAAATATATTCATATTTAATTTTTTTGTTTGCATGTAAACTACCACAGATAGTTGACGGAAATGTTTAATCCAGTACAACTAGTTCTTATCTATCATAAAGCAGGAAAGTATGGAAAACTACGCTTAATGCCATACGCTTACTGCTTTGGGCGGGGTTTTTAATTATCGTTCAAGGGCAAATGCATATGCTTCGTCCTTGCGATTATATCATTCCAGTTTCGCAAGGCACGCACTTCCTACTCCAGATACACTCTCTAGTATAAAAAGGTTTATGGTTTGGTTAAAAACTATTCTCTTCCGTAGAACACCTCAGTAAACTTTAAAATGTTCTCAAAGGTAAGCAGATATTTCATAATTTTGTGTTTATTTAAATAACTCTCTTCAGTAGCTTCAGTTTTATAAACTATTTTCATAAAATTAACTAACACTAAAAAGACTTGTGGTGCACACCTATAAAACCCCATCTTTTCGTAATGAGAACTATGACTGAATTAGAGGAATTAATAACAATAAAATTTATGTGCTAGTATTAAGGTGTGGAAAAGAATTAAATTAAACATTTCCGCAATCTGCAAATATTTGCCCTTCTTCATTGGGTGAAAAGGGACTCTTAAAGGAAGTCAAAGATATTTTCAAAACAAATACACACATTCTTTACTTTAGAGTTCTCCATTCTTCCCATTCCCACTTTCTTTTATAAAATCTGCTTTTCTAATTTTGTAATTGATTAGCAATTGTTTTCGCTATGGAAGAAACTATTTCTCAAATATTCGTGTATTTATAAAATAATTAGAGCTAAAGCTTGAATTTTTTTTCAAAAGAAAAAAAAACCTTAATATCTAGTATTTCTTATTCGGAGAAAGGTGAGGAATTTCAAATAACCTGATTTTAATTTAGCCAAAATAATATTAATAACAATTGTAATAATTATTTAAGCTTTGAAAATATAGAGTGTAATTCATTGACGGATACCAAAAATAACTAAAAGACTTAACTTGATTACATAAAAAATAAACTTTCTTTATGTTACATTTAATTTAATTAATTTAAAGTATTATATCATTAAAGTATTTAATGCTAGATCTCAATATACAGTTTGAAATGTTAATTCTGATGCATTCTAGTTCCAAATTGTGATGAATTCCAAAATAGAATATTAATTTTATAGTTAAGGGAAGGAGATTTACCTGAGAAAAAGAAACTCCATAACTATTTATGCTTGCTTTATAAGGTATTTCTTCCGCTTTCCTAGCGAGCCTTCGTGGTGTAGTGGTTCTGCACAAGGAGCCGGTATTTCAGAGGTCCGTGGTTCGATTTCCGGCGAAGGCGGTTGCATATTTTTCATCTTTTCTGCTTCCAATTAACCTAATGACTCTACAACTTCTAAAGAATTATGTTACTCAAACAAATTTATAAGAAATAAAACCACAAGTGGAAACGGGTACGTTATTTTTATAGAAATAATGCATATACAGGCATATAGCAGTAGTATATAGCAGTAGTTCAGCTAATGTAAGCTATATAATGCTATTTGTACTGCGCTTGTATAAAAAAATTAACTATGAATTATATTAGTATTAGCTTCTTAAAAATGAAACTTAGATTGACGTTGATTTTATTGAAAATCTATGCAATTCGAGGGTCATAGAGTTCCTTTTCCTTTAAAGTGAAATAGATTCTGTAATATCTTTTTTCGAAGAGCAAAAATATTCTGCTAAAAATATTTACAGAGTAGGTTTGGCTGTTTTAAAAAGAGCAGTCCCATGCCGATCTTCCTTGAAATGTGGAGAACAGCTTAGCCAATTTAAACAGGCAGAATAAAATAATGTAAAAATGAACTAAATTCTGTGCTTTTTTCTCTAAAGAAATAAGAGTATGAAATATGAGTAGATGCGAAACTGATGATCAAAATGTTAACGCTTTGATAAAGCACAATCGTGGCGTTACGTTTGCATTCGAAATTTTATAAAAGTAAAATTTTGTAACGTAACTCGGTTATGGGATTAGCTGGCAACATTCTAATATCACTCGACATTTCTATAAAGTATGACGTTCATTTTATTAAAAATTTATACTCTTAATCATAGATTTTGAAAATTTTCCTTGATTTTATATAATGTAACTCAGTTGCGAGATTAGGTAGCAGTTTGAAACAGCACTGCAATCTGATATTACTGAAATTATTAACAAGATATATTTATTGTTTTTTTTATTCAGGTTCTTGTTCTCTTCGTTGCCGTTGCTGCTGCACAAGCTAGTGGCCTCATCGGGGCCGGATATGGATTGGGAGCCGGTTATGGATATGGAGCCGGATATGGAGTGGGAGCAGGCTATGGATACGGAGCCGGATATGGATTAGTCGGTGCACCAGCTGTTGTGGGAAATGCTGTCGTTCCAGCAGTCTCCTCCTCTAAAACCGCCATCAACCACATCGCTCCTGCTGGAATTGCTGCTGCTCCCGTCACCTTGGCTGCTGCCCCTGTTGCTGCTGCTCCACTGGGTCTTGCTGGACACGGAATAGCCGCCGCTCCTCTTGCTTATGGAAACGGACTGATCGGTAACGGTCTTCTTGGTGCCGGTGTAGTAGGCCACGGAATAGCTGCTGCCCCACTTGCTTATGGAAACGGCCTAATTGGTAACGGCCTTCTCGGCTCCGGTGTTGTACGCCATGGAATCGCTGCTGCTCCCCTTGCTTACGGCAACGGGCTTGTCGGTGTGGGAGCTGGAAAACTCGCTCTTGCAGGAGGGCTTGCCAAAACAATCTTGTAAAAATTTTCTCTCACGTCTGTTTTTGTAAACGTCTTAAGTTATTAGTTATGTCATAATAAATTATTAATTCCTGTACTTGTTTATAGTCTTTACTATTAGAGTACATTTTGTGCAATAATCTTTCAACCGTAAAATTAGTGCGTAACATTTATATAATAACAAATTTTCTTCTATATGTTCTATACTAAGATTTAAACAAAATGAATATGATAACATATCTAACATTAAAACCGTATATTAACAGAGCAGATAATAAATAGAGATGTATAGCGTAGACAGAGAACATGAAAAGTCATTTTGGAGTATTATTTTTTAACCACTTTTCAGAAATATTTGATTACAAAGGAAAATTAAATAGATATTTTTGCGGGAACTTACTTTTGCTATGTGAGAGTATAGGAAGAATATTTGGTCTCATTTCTATATTTTAAATCTTTTGCTTTCCAATAACACTGAATTGTCGAGGAAATAATAATTCCTTAATAAAATTATTAGTAAAAAAGGGTTACAATCTTGTAAGTTATACCAAACATTAGTTTACCTATTTTGTAAATATTTCCTCATTAAATTATTTTTAACTTACTTTGGCAGTATTCGTTTTCATAACTAAATGCAGGGCAGTAATAATGATAAATTATAGTAAAATTATATTTTTATAACTTTCTTCATTTTCATGTAAACTATAGCATATGCTATAGTTTCAATCTTTTGAAACATAACATTTCGGCAAACGACACTCTTTTGAACAATTATCTTTTCACAAAACGATAAGAATTGAAAAAGTGTTCTAAAATGAGAAAACTTTAAGTTATTGAAGAGCAGTTATAGACATCTATGGCAGGTTCGGTACAAGCTAGGCTGCAAGGCCTGCACTGCAGGCGGGCGCCACTCAAAAAGGGGCGCTCACTTGCATTCATTCAAAAAAACCATTCAAAACTGACATCCACTCATATCTACTTAAAAAAAGGACAATGGTTTCAATTGTTATTAATAATTATTGGTCTATAAAAATAATTGATAATAATAAATTGGATAATATGAAGTTATGCAAAGTATATTTCCACTATAAAATTGGAATTTTATTGCACGTCAAGTGCAATAAAAATCAAAAGTTAAAAAATTCATAGCTTTTTACTAAGCTATACTACTGTGTATCTAAATATAATGAAGACTGCTTTACATGCATCCATTTCCCTATCTTGCAGTAAAGCGGTCAGAGCACGAAGGAAAATTAAAAGTAGTTCGTTAACGATCACTGATATTTTAATAATTTTTTACTGGTAGTATACATTATTCCGTTTTACAAAAAGGAAAAATCTACACGTATTAAATGTTAAAAAAAAATACAGTGCCAGTTTATGTATTTCACAAGGTGTGGCTAAACATCATCACGAGAGGAACCGATTTTATAAAAGTTTGAAGAGCCGCAGCTCAGTTTTTAAGTTTTCAAAAGTCCGCAAACCTATGTTTATGTCGTTTAAAAAATAATGAAATAATGAAAAGTAGAAGGAAATTTTTGGAGTAGAGAGAATTTCGCATTTTTTAGAATTCATATGCTTACTCATAAATAATAATATAATTATACCTTATTTCTCCTGCTCTGTGTTCAGAAAAATATAAAATGATGTCACAGCAAAATATAAAAATCTTTTCATATGGGTGAAGGATCACTAATTTAAAAAAATAGATCGAGAGATTTTCGTGTATTTTTAACTCATATGCAGTTTTTTAGAAAGAATAAAAGAGGTGATATGGATCAGCGCGTATAGCTGAGAATTTGTTCTTCGAAAAAGAAAAATTATTTTAAAATAAGCTGTTAACTTTGAAGCCTTTTGCATAAGAATCACTAATTTTGTTTTTGCACTCAACTAACATGAGGACCAAAGTATTAAGGTTAAATCTAATTATAAATAATTGAATTAATATATTAAATGCAAACTGCATAATAAATTGCATTTGTTTTCTGGTTGAGGCATTCGAATCCTCATACGTCTATAGGATCTTCGAAAAGATTTTAAAATCCAAACCTCGAATCTTAAAAGCTTTTTTCATCATTCGAATCTTTTGAATCCAAACCTAAGTACCTTCAATCATTTTAACCCAAAAGTGTGGGAAGTTCACAATCGCCAAATCCTATGGTGACGAATTATTGACCACCACCATTTTAGATCGAGCACCACTGTAATATCATTTGTAACTTTTCGAATTTAAGAAAAGAAGAAATCTGTAGTGTAATCGCCGGAATTCGAACTTCGGGCTAGAAGATATCTTGTAATGTGACTGAAAGAAAATATATTCGTAACTAAAAATAATAAGTATAATAAATAAATGAAATTCCTAAATGGATTGGATAGTACAAATCAAGATTTCGCATTGTGTCTTCATTTATTATTTTATATGTTAGCTCCGAGAATCGAGTATCTGTTGCCTTGGAAAGCAACAGTTTGAAATTTTGAAAAAATAGTTCTGCATTGTTAAGCATCATTTTTGAATAATTTAACAGCTGCTTACAATGCTTTAGTAGCTAGACCTTAATCATCATGTCTTTTCAGCATTTTTTTTTTCGTGAAATATTATGAGTTCAGTGCTCAAAGGTCTTCTTTCTAAGCCTCATCCATTTTCTGCTGCCCATTCATTTTTGGGAACTTGACTGAGCTTTTACTTTCTGCTTGCACTGCGCTACAGAATGCGACATAAGCATACACTAAAGCCTACATAACTTACTACAGTACTGTCATGTTTCTGATCTAAACAGCTATATTTCTACAGCACCCAGCTGTATATTTCTGCCTGGCATTCTTACAGGAAAAAAACTGATCACGATAAGAAATTAAAAATGTATTTCATAGCTAATAAACAATAAATGATACATTTTATTGGATTTATTATATATATTTCATCATCAATTATTACTTTTTAACAATATATTATCATAAATAACGTGGCCTAGCAGTGGCCCAAGCGGAGATATTGCTAATCACTGGCTGTTTCGATTCGTTAGCTATATGGGAACTTTTGTTATTTTTCCTATGTGTAACGTGAATAAGAAGCAATTTTCTTTAAAACCACTTCCGTGAAAGCATCCTTACCCTTAGCAGATAGCCTTCATGTGGTTTGCTGCAGTTCAAATAATTCAAGCAAATGCAGGGTGTTTCATAGATCATGGGACAAACTTGGAGGGGGTGGAGCGTACACTAAAACATGAATTTTTTTGTATAAGGAATGTAGGGTCTAAAGTGCCGGGTCAAGGCAGGAACGCAAGAAAACGACATGAGAGGAAAATGTGTTTATGTACAAAATCAAAGCAAGTGCTTCTTTGTAGCAATACAGTATTCACAATGAATATTCAAAAAAGGGAACACTAACGGTAATAGGAACTACAGCTGTGATTGGCTGGTAGAGGTATATGCGGTAGTATATGCGGTATGCAGCGGTAGAGGGCGGTAGTGAGCCGGACAAACCACGATCCGATGCATTAGAGGATCATTCGCAACTCTGATGCCGAGCGTAATGGATGAGTTTACGTAGAAGGAAAAAGCTGACATGCATCTCATGTATGGTGCTGCTAATGGGAACGGCAGAGTAGCGCTACGGTTGTACCAGGAACGGTTTTCGGATACGCATGTGCCGAAGCACACAATGTTCGAGAGGTGCATCGGTCTCTGTGTGAAAACGGGTCATTTGAAGCAGCCACCTCTAACACTAAAAGTGGAAGAAGAAGTGCACGACAACCTCGCATTGAAGAATCCATCTTGAACGTTGGGCATGAATCACCTCAGACAAGTACAAGAGCTATTGCACGTCGTCTGCAGCCGAGTCATTCCACCGTTTGGAGAGTATTGCATGAAAATGGTTTGCACCCATACCATTTGCAGAGAGTCCAAGCCTTGCAAGAGACAGATTACTCTCTTCGAATTCATTTCTGTCATTGGTTCTTGCAGCAATGTGCGGCGCAGGCGGATTTCCCATCGAATGTGCTATTCACAGACGAGGCAACTTTCTCACAGGCCTGCATCTTCAATATTATGTTATCATATTTTTCTGCAAGAGGTGCTACCGGAATTCCTGCAGTATGTTCCGGCTGTCGTTCGTGATCGCATATGGTTCCAGCATGATGGTGCACCAGCCCATAACCACGTGCGGGTCCGCAGTTGTTTCGATGGGACATTTTCGGGCCGTTGGATTGGCCGTGGTGAACCCGTTCGATGGCCACCCCGTTCACAAGATTTATCCAGCTCGTATTTTTTAATTCGACCATCTGAAGAGCATCATTTACGAGACTCCCGTTGCCTCACTGGAGGACCTCGTTGCACGATTATCCATTGCGACTGCAAGCGTGTGCAAAATGCCTGTCGTTTTAAAAATGTTCGTCAATCCCTTCTGCGACGTTGCTAGGCATGTATTACTGCTGGTGGTCGCAATTTTGAACATTTATTGTGAATACTATATTGCTACAAAGAAGCACTTTGCGTTGATTTTGTACATAAACACATTCTTCTCTCGTGTCGTTTTTTTGCGTTTCTGCCTTAACCCGTCACTTTAGACCCTACATTCCTATAAAAAATGCATGTTTTAGTACGCTCCACACGCCTCCAAGTTTGTCCCATGATCTAAGAAATACCCTGTATAAACAAAATATTACTTCAAATTTATAGAATGATTTTTTTTGGAAAGCTTTACCATATTAAATCGCAATTATCCTTTTATTTATATAAAAATTGTAAAAATAGAGCGATCATAAAATAAAGAAAGATCTGTGAGAATTAAAAAGTATCGATATTTGTTATATATGCATACTCGCTTTTATGTATAATGTCTTAAACTCGTTCGACATATTCTAAATATATAACTAGAAAATATTCATTTAAAACTAAAAGAATTTTACATATTCACATAATTATAATTTTACACCATTTTTTAAATGTGTGTGAGCACATTAATGAAATATCACAATAATTCGTTTATAATTTATTTTATTGTAAGTTAATCATTACATAATATATATTTTATATACAAGAACCAGTTTAAAATTTTAATATTTAATAATAAACGGCGTATAAATAGCATCTACAAAT